TTACAAGATTTCAATATATTCACTACCAATAATAAAGAGAACACTGCTCAACATCATGAAAATTAAACCTTATTTTCAATAAGCAATCCTGAAAAATATTTGGGGGTGCTTAACTTTTTTCCAGGTGTATATAATAGTATAAAACTGGCCTTTACAAAGTGACCTGTTCTAGTGAACTAGTATTATGTAAAATACAGTCTCTTTTCGGTTATAATACATTACATTTGCATATTTATTATTATTACTATTTACAAATAAGTTATTAAGTTTTGGTTATTTTTCTTAAAATATAGAACATTAAATAAAAACAAATTTAGAAAACGATTTTTTTACTTACAAACTTTGTACTAATTTGCCTGCTTGCTGTAATTTGCTAAGCCTTGTCAAGTTTTGCATGTGGAGGATGTAAAACAAAATAATTTTTTTAGGTTTTATATGTTCATTTTGAAATAACCAAATATTATAAATTACTCTATCAATATTGCAGAATTCCACTAATTTATCAGGCTTAGTAACTAAACTGTATTTGAGTAAAAAAGTATTGTTTTTTTTTGGGGGGGGGGCACCATTTTCACTTACCACATCCTTCAGTGATTCAAGACAAATAAATAATCTTGGGAACTTCCCACCTTCTATAAACTGAGAAAACCACCAGGGGGACATTATGAGTTTTCGATTGGTTATTTACACGTCATAGACAGAAGTGGGTATACATAAGCATTTTCAAAAATGAAAATAGGTGGCCAGGGCCACTGTGTTTGATTCACTATATGTAGCAATATCTCAACAAATAAAAAAGATAGGGGATTCTTATTTTATATTCTAGCTTATCAATAATTTGAGTTTCTAAGTTTTAAGAAACTTTAGACTTTATATTTTAACATCATAAACATTTAATCTGAACCAATGCTGTATTCAACATACCATGTAACACACAAAAATTGATATTTAGGAATTTTAATATTTACTTTTAAATTAGGAAATTAACTAACGTATAATATTAAAATTTGAATTATAATCTACAGTTTGATACCAAACTTATTGATATACATTCCTAAAATAGTAGTTAAATAAAATTTTGAACATAAATCTACAAATGTGATGACATGCCCTTTGACTCCTGACCATGGAAAAACCTGTAGCAGGAGAGTTAAATTATGTTTATTTTTTGGTGAACTGTTTATATATCCAAATATACTTATTGCTGTAAAAGTTAATTATCAGCACATAAACTAATTTTCTGGAATGGATTCTTTTAAGAACAATTGGTTAGTACAATCGAGTGTATGAATTTCACCAAATTTTTGTTTTCATATAAAGAATGAAAAATAAATCAGTGACATATTACATCAAATATTGATCATTTTTTACACTGGCCTTAGATGAGATGGTATTTTGTTGATAAAAACCAGTTTTGACTTTTACTCTGTAGTTGAATTATTATTATTATGCCTGATATTTTTTTATCCATCAAAAACATTAAGTTTGTTACATCTCTAAGGATTTTAGGTTTACTTTGTTCATTATAAGTTTAAAAAGTAAAGTATAAGAGTAATAAAACTTTGTAATTAAATTAATTTCACAGCTTAATTTAAATTGTTTTGAGGCTAAGTAATTTTTAAGAAGGCATAATTTGTAATAATTGAAATTATTTGATATCTTGTAGTGTCAAAGATGGAGACTACTTGTACACCATGGACTTTTTACAGGCTATCGCTGAAACTCTAGAAACAAAGATGGGTCGTTGATGATAATACTTTAGTAGTATTTTTTACAAGTCTTAGTCAAATTAGAAACAGGGATTTTAGCTGCCTCATTGTATGTTTTTTAATATCATATTTCTTGAATTAGTAAACAAAAATTTTAAAACAGTGCATAATTTTAAATAAATTATCAGTCATACAAAATCGTGTTTTTCTGATGTAAGGTTGTTACTCTGTTGATATGACCTCACAACAGAGTTTCAGTTAAAATATTTCTTTTGAAGAAATTCCTTTGTAAATGGAAACAATAATTGTTTTATTGGAGAATATTGTCCAATAAATACATTTTCAAATAAAAAGTGATTCTGCCATTATATATGTTTACTGATAGGTGACATATCTTGCCTTCAAATAGACATCAAGATTTAAATCTTTGATATTCTGTTGTATGTAGAAAGTGCATACTTTTCTCTGTGTCAGAAACATTTTTTTTAATTGTTCAATTTTAATTTTTACCAAAGCCTTAATCAGGCAACAGTGTACTGAACAATATAAATTTTTCTCAGTGTCACTTTTTAAATTGGAATTGGTACTTGGAAATAATTAAGAAAGTATAAATTAAGAAAACATAAATGTACTTTTAGTAAGCAGATACTTAAAGTTATACTTCCTTGGGTGATGCCAGATGAAACTAGACCCACACATTGAAGTACCATGATAAATGTGAAAAGTATGTTGGTGGACCCAAGTACTCAGATTAATAACAGTAAGCCAGGGTCTGACACTGGTAATATAACTGATGGTGGTCTTACTTTTAACAGTTTTCATCCACGTGATTATGAAATGCTTCATAGAAACAGCTTTACATGAAACCCTATAGTGTGTAAAAATACATTCACCAGTTGTATTACAAACAAACCATTTATTTACTGTAACTTATAATGTTCTTTGCGAATAACATTATATACTTAGCTGTAGACAGTGTGAAATTCATTTGGTAGATGAAACTTGACCATTTTTGAGGCAGAAAATGGTCACAAGTCCTATACCAAAAGAAAATATTCATTTCAGTTTTTTCTATAAATATTTTAAATCTCAATGACACACTGAATATTTTCAGATACAAACCACTGTTCATTCAGTATGGGGATTTAAACAGTTTATGCACTTAGCTAGTGAAAAGATTATTGGATGAAAACTAGTTACAATTGACCCTTATGAAAGTAATGTTTCTAAAGGTTGTCAATTTTCACAAGTTATTACATGTTGGGCACACAGTCACAGGCAAAAACACGAGAGCTTACTATGAGACTTCCTTGAAGTCAATACAACCTTCATACAATTACAATCAAACATAGTAAGTTTGATAAAGTAATGTAGACCAACTGTTACTTGTTACTTCTCATCAGGTAAACCTAAAACAACATTTACTAATGAATTAAAGTTTATCTTTTAACTCCATTTATTGACAGAATTATAGAACTATTTAAATTAGAATCTACAGTCAGGCATTTCTGTACAACAGTTATAAAATTACTAACTATTAAGTATTCTTGCAAGAAAGCCAATGGCAGCAACATTTTTAATTATAACATTATTTTAGATAATTAATGAGTAATTACAGAACATTTTGTCCTGTTATTGTGAATATAAGTTATCACCTGACATTTACTCTCCTATTGACCATATACTCACTACTTACATAGATAAAGGAGTTAGTGATGATTTGTCACTCTTAATGAGTAAACTCCTAAATTTCAGGAATGAATTCAAGTTAACTGAAATGGCACAAAACACTTAGTAAATCATTAAATAAAGTTTAACCTGAATGGTGTGACAAAGAGAACTTAAAAATAAATATATTTAAAGAATGGAGTTGAAAACATATTAAATGCATAACAACAATGAACAAGTTATGAATAACAAAAGAAGTTACCATGTATTTATATTATTTTTACAAAAGATACATTATTACAACTATGTAAAGAACAAGGAGTCAGGTTATGAACTATTAAAGAAAGTATCATATAAAAACAAATTACAATTTTATCATACTTTGGTATACACCCTGAAAATTTTTGTAATACCTAAATTATACTAGATTCCTAAACAACATCAGACACTACAATTATACATGTTTATTGCCAGTGGTTACAAAGATACAACTATGAATTCTGATTGGTTCAAGGTCTGCACAAAGGAACACTTAAACAAATATTGAAATATTATCAAAGAAGAAACTGGTATTACTTTGTTGAATGTAAAGAGACAAAGACCTTGAGGAACTTTTGATTTTAATAATTTTTACACTAGTCTTCTTATTGATAACATTAAAAATATTCATTGGCAACTTTAGATTTTTTGAGAATTTGATAAATTCATGCTTTTTTTTTAATAAACACTGATGTTTCAATAACTATATGACTGAAAAGTTGTTTCGCAATAAACAAATTCTTATAATCTATGTACAATTTTATTACCTGGCAACACATTTGTACAATTTGATAAACATGTCTTTAAGCAAATGCAGAAAATACCAATGGATGGTAACTTCAGCTAACAAGTTTGAGATTTATATTTATTCAAACTTGAATTTTCATTATATCTTGGAAAGAAACATTAAAACAAAGCTTTGCACATGTAAATATACGAAAGATATTATTTGACCATATTATGCTGATTTTCTTGACACTACCAAACACAATTATCCTCCAGAATTCAGTTTGAAAAACAGCTTGTTTTTTCACTACAACCATAGCACATTACCTGGAGTTAGATGTAAGCATCATTAATCAAATATTCAATAAAACACTTAAATTTTGAAGTTATATACTTTTTATTTTCAAATACAAGTATTTAGATAAAAAAGGGTAAAGTATGTTATACTCACAGCTTATGTGCAATGTAAAAGCTTTCATGAGCAGAACTCATAAACTCACTGTTATTTTTCACAAACAAGATATCTCCTACTTTACTTTGAACCCAAGATTTATTCAGTTTTGTGGTAAATCAACAGTTTCTCACTACCAATTATCAGATTAATAATATTACAAATTATCACAATTTTTTCAAAGCTATCTTGTCTACACCCTAATTGTTAACTATTTTTATGGTAATATTGTTCAACTTTAGTATGGTAACTGCATTATTTTCACTTCCCTCTACAGTTGATTGTTTGTTTTGGAATTTTGCGCAAAGCTACACGAGGGCTATCTGCACTAGCTGTCCCTAATTTAGCAGTGTAAGACTAGAGGGAAGGCAGCTAGTCATCACCTACCACTGCCAACTCTTGGGCTCCTCTTTTATCAACGAATAGTGGGACTGACCATCACATTATCATGCCCCCATGGCTGAAAGAGTGGGACGGGGATTCAAACCTGCAGATTGTGAGTCGAGCTCCCTAACCACCTGGCCATTACAGTAGATTGAAACATATAGCAGTTACTTGTAAAGTATAACATTAGTTTCTGTTAATTACTTTAGCTCATATTTACCATCATCGTTACTTCTTTTTCCATACAAATCTTGTTATTGCTGTGATCTTTCTGATATTATCACTTAAACGTTTTGGCTAATTATTAAGGTTTAATTTTATTTATTACTTCCAGCTACTCCTGCAGTAAATAACTGTATGGGGTAGCAATAGCTCAGCAGTAAATCTGAAGGCTTATTATGGTAAAACCAGAGTTTGGATACACCAACATGTTACTTCTGTTAAACACATTTTGTAGTGTTGTCTTTTTATTACATATAACTTTGTTATTTTAATTAGATTATTATATTTTACCATTTATTACACAATTTTGTTATTTATTTTTATCTTTTTAAACATTAGTTTTTGCTCTACAGGAGCTATATGTACTATCCTGCTACCAAGCTCTAGAGTTAAATAGTAATACGTATCGTAGTAAATTATCTTGAATTGGTCGCTAGATGTTGTTAGGAATGATTGTATAAAGTCTTACATATAGCAGTATTATGTTTTTGTAGGTATAGGGAACTGGTGATAATACATGAAGCAAACAATTGGATTTTAAGTTTTGTAACTAAGTTCCCTTCTATAGTTTCATTAATAGTACTTTGCATTACTAGATTGTATGGATTTAGGACTAACTTAAATCTTCTAAGCTGGCCAAATATTGACAAGTATTATTGAGATTATGGTTGAAAATATCATGAACAGTGAGGATACCAGACTGATGAATCAATACATGCTATTCATTTTAAGTAACAACTGTATATTAAGTAAGCTGTATTCATTTAGCTCTGATATATGTACATAGCTTTCTTTAATTAGATATTAATGAAAATTAGAAAGAATGTTTACACTACAGTGCATTTGAGAGAAAGTGTCACTGTACTTTCAATTGGGTTATAGCACATTTTAACTACCTTCTCACTTCAATTTAGTTTAAAAAATGAATTCAAGTAGACCACAATCATACACATTTAACACCTGTGTTAATTACATGTTATTATTAATAGTTCAAGAACAGAAACAGCAGATGTTCACATCGAATTGATAGGAAAAATAACACCTATTTTACTTTCAGTAATTTGTATGTATGTAATAACTAAAACAGACATGAACGTCACCCTTCCATAACTAGCTTAAGATATATCTTTATTCATATAACTTTTCTAGTATGGCATTCTTGTAAAACAGATATCAAAAGGTTGTAAAAATATGCTAACCCATTTACTCTGGTAGAATTGCGTATGCCAATGTCTAGAAACTCATTGACTTTGCAGTTCAGATATTCATACAAACAAATCATTGTGAATTAGGGAATTTCTTCCTTGTGAATATTGTCGGTGAGGTATGTAGCACTGGATTCTGGTATGCTGCACTTTTTTACAGAAAAGTCTGAATTTTGGTGGGTTAATTTGCTTCTAAGTACACCAAGCTTCATAGTCGTGTGTGATACAATATTGTAGTGAATAAGTACTTGGATATTTCAAGATGCCACAAATTGTCATTATATATATATACACGCAAAACAATTTAAATAGCTATGTCTATTATGATAGCTTTGCAAAAGCATTAAAGTGACTTCCTAGGGTCGTCTACCATTTCCATTTGTAACCTCTTACAAAGTTCATTCTTATGAACTTCTATCAAAACTTTTATGTTATCTGTTACT